ATGATGATGATGATGATGATGATGATGATGATGATGATGATGATGATGATGATGATGATGATGGGTACGGGGTGTTCTGAGGACAGATTAGTTTGCTGTAGTGGTTACAGCATCTGGTAGTCAGAAAAAAGGGCAAACCAATCTGTTCCCACACCATACCAAACAGTGGGACAAATGCATGTCTGATCAATCCCTTGGTTTGCATACCTCACTTCTAGTATTCCCCACTAATGTTTTTTTTCCCTTTTGCACTCTGATAAAATTGCTTTTTATAGTTAGCTATAAAGACAGTTGAAAGGGTGGCTCTCCATGGCATTTAATATAGATTAAAATCTCACAATTCTAATCTCCCATGGTGATGACTATACCCTATACGTTTCTAAAAAAATAAATCATGTAAGTTCCTTTTCTCCTTACAACTGTCCCTTAATTAGAAGTTTCTTTCCTTGCATTTAAAATCACTGACTAAATGGTTCTTGTTCAAATTTTACAGTCCTCCTTAATTATCCTTAATTAATCACTTCTTTTCATTTCAGGAGGGGCATTTTGTCATTGTTTTGTTTTATTTGTTCATGTTTGCAATTTTTAATGCTGCTACTGTATCAACAATAAATAAAAAGCTCCTGCTGGTAAAAATTAATTTGAAAGTAAGCAGTTATAATTGCTAGTAATTAAAGAAAGTAATTAACTCTCAGTCAATGCAAGAAATAGGAAATGACTGTTGTTGTTGTTTAGTCGTTAAGTCATGTCCGACTCTTTGTGACCCCATGGACTAGAGCACGCCAGGCCCTCCTGTCTTCCATTGCCTCCCAGAGCTCGGTCAGACTCATGTTGATAGCTTCGGTGACACTGTCCATCCATCTCGTCCTCTGTTGTCCCTTTCTCGTCTTGCCCTCACACTTTCCCAACATCAAGGTCTTTTCCAGGGAGTCTTCTCTTCTCATAACATGGCCCAAAGTATTGGAGCCTCAGCTTCAGGATCTGTCCTTCCAGTGAGCACTGAAGGTTGATTTCCTTCAGAATGGATAGGTTTGTTCTCCTTGCAGTCCAGGGGACTCTCAAGAGTCTCCTCCAGCACCACAATTCAAAAGCATCAATTTTTCGGCAGTGAGCTTTCTTTATCGTCCAGCTCTCACTTCCATGCATCACTAGTGGAAAAACCATAGCTTTGACTATGCGGACCTTCGTCAGCAAGGTGATGCCTTTGCTTTTTAAGATGCTGTCGAGGTTTGTCATCACTTTCCTCCCAAGAAGCAGGCTTCTTTCAATTTCGTAGCTTCTAATACCATCTGCAGTGATCATGGAGCTCAAGGAAGTAAAATCTGTCACAGCCTCCATATCTTCCCCTTCTATTTGCGAGGAGGTGATGGGACCAGTGGCCAAATGAGTACCTAGCTCACTGGGGGGGGGGGCAATGCGCAGCCTGCATGATTAACTTGTAAACTGCTCAGATGGTGCTTGAAACATTATGGGTTGGTATATAAGTAGCACACTTTGTTTTTGCTTTGATGTTGAGCTTCAGACCACTCTTTGAAATGACTAGTCAAAGAGACATCTAGCTTGCTATTAAAGGGCGGAGTAAGGAGGAAGTTACTAACTAAAGGGACAATAAACTCCAAAAGACTCAGTAGCATTCTGCTAGTATGCACATAAATGAGTATACACAGAAATTGTTAATACCTTGTGCCAGGGAAAATATAGGGAGACAACACAAGAAACCTTAGAAGGCAGTAAGGCTGTCACTAGATGGCCCAATTATGCTGGTCTGCTCTGGATCATGGTAACTTGGGGCAACAGTATGTCATTTGGAGCAATCATTGCATCCACATGCAAAAACTGATCATACCACACTTCAGTCAACTCTGTTTATTATGATCTAGACAGATATTTTCCATTAAAGGGAAAGAAAAGAAACCAACAAAGATCCCCCACCTGTCACCCCCTCTGTGGTTTGCTTAAGCCACTTAATGATCTTGAGAAATGGGAAGCTTCCTTGATGCTTGCCTGTACAGGGAAAGGGAGAGGAAGTTTTCCATTTCTTTTTAATTGTTGTTAACACATTTGCAATACTTTGAAAGGGCTTTTTGAATGTATTATGTCAACAAAGGGACAGCCTACCAGCTGCTTTGGTTCAATCTCAGCAATTTACACACTGAAACCGAACCAAAGTGGAGTAATCCTACCTGGACCAAAAAAAAAAGTAGACTAGACTTAGGGACCCACTAAGGTGTGGGTGGCCAACAATCAGGGGGAGTCTGGTTTGCAATTGTCGTGTGGTCATTGGAAAAAGAAGTGAACCAACCCACCCCCAACTTGTACCAAACTGCAAGAGAAATGCCCATTCGCTGAGAATGATATCACCAGGAATTCTCTACAATAACTGATTAAAGAAAATATTCCATTCTGGTTTCATGGTTAATACAGAACTCAGTCTAAAGGGTATCATTGGAAGATTTCAAACATTCCTGGAGCTACCACCAGGCGTCATCATGGTCATCTTGAGAAATGCAGATAGTGATTTGACTGGCTTCATATATATTGCAGTAATAATACAAACAACTTTTCCCCCCTGAAAACAACATCTAGAAAGTTTTATCCATAACAAAATGTCTTCCTCCTGAAATTACAAGAGAAATTTATTGTGTTTGCATTGCTTATAAAGGCAAGCAAATATTAGATATTGCAGTTGGTCGTGGAATACGTCATTCAGGCTGCCGATATCAGATGATAAATAAGATAAATACATGTTGGCCAACCTGTAGACTGCTTAAATGTGTACAGACATAAAACTGTTCTCTCACAGTACTAGTAATCCAGTGTCTTGCATAGTAGCTCACATTTGAATGTCACCCTTGAAAGGCTTGGTCCTATACTGGACATTTTCAGATGAATTTGTCACAAGTAGATTAAAAGCCATTTGTTTCATTCTTTCATAATAAAACGATGATTTGTCAGTTTGCCTTGGTTATGTTTCCCCCCCCCACTTTGAATTATTATTTAAAGGAAATATTTATAGAGAAGTTTTCAATAATTAAACAAGTTTTTGAGACTCAATAGAAACATGTTTTATACATACATTTTTCAGCCAGTGATTCAGTTTTGAAGGCACCAGGCAGAGGGATGCCAAAACTGGTGTGTTTGTGTGTCTGCGTGTGTGTTTGAAATAACTGCTATCACATTGAATGATTCCAAATACCAAAGCATGAAAAGATCAGTAGAGGAGCTCTCTGGATTAGCTTGGATCTAGTGCAACTTGAACTTGCCACATCTGACGACAGCAGTACTAACTTGAAAACAATGGATAATTTTGTCACTTGGAATAACCATTGAAACTGATGCATAAGAAATTATGACATGACCCTCAAACAATATTAAATATTTAGTTACATAGGCTATGATCCTCAAACAATATTAAATATGTCTTGAATTTAGGGGGAAAAGATGTTCCTACTGGGTGCACTGCTTTTCATTTTCTAATGTAAATTGGTAGCCTATCCTCTTTTTTTCTAATGACCTGAGAGCAGCCCCAAGTGTATGAGGTTTTCTCATGAAGCGGAGAGGAGGAATTTGGAGCCCTCTAAATAAAAGGGTTTTGGATTGCAGCTCCTATTAATCCTCACCACTAGCTATGCTGGCTAAAACTAATGGGAGGTGCAGTTCAACAACATCTGAAGGGCCACACTTTGCCCATCCCTTCTTGGAAAGTATGAATGCATTGTATTCATTTATTTATATACCTTTATTCTATATGGTCCAAATGCATTGGGGCTTATTTTCAGGGGATGTTTTATTTTTTCATGTACAACTATCTACATTTATTCAGATACAGTCATGCCATCTTCTGGTTGCTGCACAAGGGTGGATGCCAGGGTTTTCACTTAACTCGGGCTTTTGGGGGTTAGGACTTACATTACGAGCATCCTGAAAAATCATACTAGGGCTTATTTTCAGGTTAGGTCTTATTTTCGGGGAAACAGGGTATATTATGCACATATGTTACACACAACACAGAAACAAAATATTGGGTGGTGTCAATCCATCTATCCATCCATCCGTCCGCCCATCCGTCCATGTTTAAGAAGTCTTTCTGCTGTTCATACATAAGCTGTTTCTTGCAACAACAAAAGCAACAACAACCAATTATCTGCATCAGAGAGGTAGACATACAGCAAATGTGACTGCAGTGGGAATTGTGGGGCTGCTGTATAATGGAGCTCCACAGGAATGGATGGGGCCTATTCATTGGAATGTTAGACAGTACAAATTTCTGGCAAGCAATCATTCTTAAGTATTTTCATGCGTGCTGGTTACTTTCCACCATTTAATTTGCCTAGAAATAGATTCTACTGCTGACTCACATATTTGCAGCAAGATACAAGATTGGAGATGCATTAAGAATCATCTTGATTACTTAAACTTCTTTCCAGTCTATTGCACCTGTAGGTGGCTGTAAAGAAAAAAGAGATTCACTCACCTCCGCAGTCCAGCATATTGTACTCGTCTGGTTTCTCCAAGGGCCAGCAGTCATAATCAGTATTATCCAAATCATGCCATGCCTTCACCACAACAATCTGCCACAAAAACAAACACATGGGAAGGCTATTGTGTTCATATGCATGCTTGTATGAAAGGGCAGTTCTTTTAAAAATGCACAGCACATTTTCCATTTCCATATTTGCCATTTTAGAAGAATACCCTAAAGGCACACAAAATGAGGCACCATTAAAGAGGTGCTTGATGGGCTGATTCTATGTGAAACCTGATCAGGATGACAACCAATGTGGTGTAGCAGTGTGCTGTGTTAAAGGTAAAGGTAAAGGTCCCCCTTGACAATTTTTGTCCAGTCGTGTTCGCCTCTAGGGGGCGGTGCTCATCCCCGTTTCCAAGCCATAGAGCCAGCGTTTTGTCCGAAGACAATCTTCCATGGTCACGTGGCCAGTGCGACTTAGACATGGAACGCTGTTACCTTCCCACCGAGGTGGTCCCTATTTATCTACTCGCATTTGCATGCTTTCGAACCGCTAGGTTGGTGGGAGCTGGGACAAGTGACGGGCGCTCACTCTGTCGCGTGGATTCAATCTTACGACTGCTTGGTCTTCTGACCCTGCAGCACAGGCTTCTGCGGTTTAGCCCACAGCGCCACCACGTCCCTCCTGTGTGCTGTGTTAGGAGGCAAGAAACCTGGGTTTAAAACGGTCACCTGGCATTTGACCTTTGGTTTTTGCATTTTCTCAGCCTGATCTCCTTCACAGGCTTATTAGGATAAAATGAGGAGGAAGGGAACAATTTACCACCTTGTTAGAGGAAAGGAAGGATATAACTGTAAAAAGCAAACAAACATATGTCAAAAGCCACGTGGCCTTTAGCCACAAGCCATGCTGATTCCCTAACAACCACATAGCAGATGGTGAGGAACTGTGCAGCTGAACAGAGGGGAAATACTTGAAACATGAGAAAGATACATAACATAATACGTGCCATGTTTCCCCGAAAATACGACAGGGTCTTATATTAATTTTTGTTCCAAAAACACATTAGGGCTTATTTTCAGGGGATGTTTTATTTTACAGTCATGTCATCTTTTGGTTGCTGCACAATGCTTCACAATGGTGGAGGGTGGGAATTCACTTAACTAGGGCTTATTTTTGGGGTAGGGCTTATATTACGTACATCCTGAAAAATCATACTAGGGCTTATTTTTAAGGGAAACAGGGTCTATGCATGATTTTAATGATTGATTCTGCTTTTGTTGCATTTCTTGGCAGAATGTGAAATTTTGGCTTAAAAACCTTTAGCTACACAGTGAGAAATAGTTCAGGGATCTACAGAGCATAATTAGCTTCAGGTCTCCCTACAGTAGATTCCTATGTTGTTTGTTTTCATCAGTATTTACTGTCTCAATAATTCACTCAGAGACAAGCTTCAGGTCTCCCTACAGTAGATTCCTATGTTGTTTGTTCTCATCAGCATTTACCGTCTCAATAATTCACTCAGAGACATGGGTAGGAGAAAGAATAAAAAGTCCCATTTACTCACAATTTTTTAAATAGATAAAAAACAACACATTGTAAAAAATACTGGTTACTTGAACAGACTTTAACTGGCTACATGGCTACATACTAACTGTAGGCTAATGAACAGCAGACTACCCCATAACTGACTATATGACTGGAAAAGAGCTGGAAAAGGCTTTTGAGTAGAGAGGCATGGCTGTCTTCAAAATTGGAGACAGAAGGAACATTTGATTGCTGCTGGATTGATTGACAGTCACCCCCCTGTCCAGAAGGGTCCCTCCCAGCCAAAACCTCCCTTGTCCAGAAGGGTCCCTCCCAGCCAAAGCCTCTTAAAGGCATAAATCAAAGGTTGCAATAATTCCAACAGATTTTTGACAAATACTGTTTTCTGTATTTCTTGTACTCATCAAAACAGCACACTGGATATGTTTGCAGTTCCTGTGAAGATGCACTCTCAGGGCTGTAGCATCTCATTTCTTTTTCTCTCTTTATTTAGCTCAGGGGTAAAGAGCTTCCTCGTGTTGAGGAAACACTCTGGATTACGCAACCTCCCCAGAGGCCACAATGCTCCTGAAACTCAGTGGCTGCTATCACAGCTGCCAGTCAAATTCACCTGCAACTACAGCAGCTCTCTGTGGGGTAGAAAAGTGGCAGAGTGACTTCCTGCAGCACAGAGCCCTGCAGACTGGCAATGCAGGAGGGGATAACAGCCCTGCAGACTGGCAATGCAGGAGGGGAAGGGAGGGGAAAGGAGAGGAGGGACCAAATCTTGGGGTGATGGCAAGACAGGAATGCAAAACCTCGTAATGAAGACATATGAATATGGAGCATTTGTTCCCCATGTCTTTCCTAACTGGTTCCATCTGATCATGTAGGTGTTGTAGAGGGGGTATATATACACAGGGACGCCTCTGTCTGCAGGATCTTCTCATTTTTCTTTCCTCTTCTGCCCTCCATGTGATGGAAGCAGGAAATGATGATCCCACAGAAGGGGCGTGAACACCAAAACCATACCCGGGATGTCTTACAAAGTTGTTATAGTTTGTAAAGGATAGCATTTTGCTATCTTGCACAAAGGTACAGTAACTCTGGACACCTTTGATGAAAATTCTCGCCTGATGTGGAAGACATTCTGGACGCCTTTGATCAGGGTAAGATGAAAATTCTCGCCTGATGTGGAAGACAGGATGGCACCATCTCCTGTTCCCCACTAATAAGTATGATCAGAATTCCAGACAAAATTTACCTCAGGGCAAGCATCCTGCCCCATACCAGAGAACATAAAGGTAGCCTAGGTGGTAAAGGGCACACATAACTGTACTGTCCAATACCTTACCCTAAACATAGAATCTGTACCCTGAGGCATCCACTCACTCTTCCTAACAACAAGGCTGATTTTGCTTTCATAATGCTGACATTACTTCAGAAATTCAGTCATGGAGCAAACATTGAATTTGAAACTGTAATTAATGATTGATTTAAACACACACTATAACATTTTTTCATCCAAGGTCATTCCCCAAGCATATGTAAACAAAGTAACTCATGGTTCAAACAACTTATTGTTTCTCTCATTGTTGCCATTCAGTTGCCATTCTTGTGAAGTGGCTACAGATTTCTGACTATGACTTAGCTCTTAATTAAACAGAACATATCATCAACACCATTTTACATCACATCATATGTACGAAACCCAACAAGAGAAGTACTGTGTGTTAAGAACTGTAGAAGCCCTCTATATGGTTTGGTCTTAAGATACAAACTACAAGAAAATGTCCAAAATAGGACAGAAGAAAAGAATTCTTCAGTTTAATATAATTTGGAAGACATAAGATGGCTAAAATGCCACACACACACACCCACCAGCCAAATAATAAGATAGAGGTTATAACAATTTCTCTGCAGTAGCAGAACACAAATGACATTTGTTGGATCTACTGTTATTATGATTTCTGCCCTCACAAGCAAAACATACACAGACCTAGAGGCACTATATTGTTTTTATTGTCTACATGATGTTGATGGGGCACTGTGTTATTTGTATAGTTATTTGCTATTTGGTTAATATGTCACATCCTTATTAAGTATTATTTTGTATAGTAGAACAGTTCTTTATTGCTTCCAGTGCCACCATTTAGTTACGTAGGACATGATCCTCAAACAATATTAAATATTTATATTTATTACTGAGGTTTTTTTTCCAGAATGAAACATTTCAACTAATGCTTAGAACTCTCAATCAATGGGACTTCAAAATACTTGATATTGGCTGATTCACAGTCATATTCACTAATTTTTTTAAAATTTCTTTTTTGGTGTGCAAGCAGTTTAAATTTTTAATCATGTTTGCCATTATTACCTTATCCACATTATAGATCAATATTACCTGATACTGCTGTTTATTTTTTGCTTTTAGTTATTTATTTTGCAGACAAAATGTTTGCTTTTGGAAGTATCACTGATAAGCAAGAGTTTCTATTACAATGGTGCATAATAAAGATCCAGATGAAGATTACCTACCAGTAAAATGAGGAAGAGAGGGAGCTCACGGCCAAATGATGCGGTAGCTGTCATAATCCTGGAACCCGAATCAAGACAAGCAGACATGCTTCCTCTTTAGGTGTCCTACAGTTGCTGCAACTATATCTCCCCCTCTCTTTGTTATTTTCCTTCCCCACTGTGTGAAGAAAATTATGGAGAGTGTCCCCAGCATATGACTCCAGCAAGAGGAGCACAGCTTTGCCTTCAGGTCTCTCTCTCTCTCTCTCTCTGACTGTACACATGACTTTTTGTGCTCATCACCACCTGTGGTAAGAATAATAAAAAAGACAATAAGCAGACACACAAACACACACACACACACACACACACACACACACACACACACACACACACACTCTCCTTATGCTCATTGGCCTCAAGTCTTTTCAATTTGTTTGAAATGTTGAGTGTTTCTGCTTGAAAAATCAAGATTGGGCACATGCAAGGAAACCGAGGCCTGCATTTAAAAAACGAAACTCTGATTGGGCTTCGCATTAATGTTTTCTTCATGCAGATGTTGGACTTTCCAGGTTCTAGGGCTGGTATTAATAAGTAGGTATGGCTATATCAGTTTAAGTCCTGTGAACTAAGACAGGTGTTGATCAACATCCTAGATACTGCAGCTCGAGCCTATGCACTGTTTTGCATTCGCAAAAAAATTTACTGCTGCTCCACATGACAATGTAGAATGACTTCCAGCTAGGGATGGGAAAGAATGCCATTCAGTTCACATGTCAATACCAATGCAGCAAATGTGCATGTTCTTAGTCGGAACAACATTATGCCCATCAGTATTTCTACTTCTCTGGATTTTGAGATGCACTTTTCTGAACAACAATGAAATGTGTACAAAAATGTGCATATTGTACAAAAATATGTGCAAAACATTGCATATGGTTAAGAGGAAGCGAACACAAAATGCATATATTAGTAGAAGGAACATACACAAAAGCATTTGATACAGGAAAAAGATTGCGAATATTGGGCAAAAACCTGTCATTTAACTCTGTGCCAGCATAACCTGGATGGGGCTTTGAAGCCTTTCAATTTAAAGTAATTAAAAGCTTTCTATCCGGCTGCTTCTAGATTCTGAGGCTCCCAAAGGCTCCCTTTCACCCTGGGGAAGCTTCGGAACACCCCTACAAAAACTGGTTCTGGAATCATTACATATTTTAAAGAGGAAAGTATTCTACAACAGGTTATAACACATTATCATTAGAATTATAAGTCTGAAAATGTGCTGTGGATTCTGCTATGACCCCAGAAATTGGTCCAATGTGCCCCACTCTTAAGTGGATAGACTTTAACAGGCATGTGACGCCTGTGCCCTGTCCCACCTGTGTTCTTCAGTATCAGTTCCCACCAGCCTCATCTGGCATAACCAATAGGAAAAGATTATGGGAGATGCATCATCTGAGGGCCATGGGTTACCCACCCCTACTCTGTAATCTAGTTGGCATCCTAGATACAGAGCATACACATGCAGATGCATGAGGTTATTGCCTGGGAGGAACTGTAGAAACAATGCAATTATGAATGCAATGAAAGATTTCTGCAAAAGGAGCAGATTGGTGGTGACTGTAGTTTAGTAAGCAGAGCACAAGCACTATGCCTGAACACTTTCCATTTGGGCCTTTTTCTCCTCTCCTCCCTGATATGTCAGCCCCAGTACTGAGATTGTAGTTTAGTTAAATCATAGTTTCCTGTTATATCTGAACACAATAATTGTACTTTAACCTTAGATTCTTGACCAGGATCTGATTTAAAAGTTATTCTGTCCAGATGGAGTTACAGGAATGCAGCACAAGGGAGCAATTCCAAAAATGTAATGAATGTTTAGAATTTTTCTCAATCTCATTAATTCTATGAGTTGAGCAATGATGGGACTCCGCATTGAGGCTTTCTGCAGCACCAACATTCCCCTACTTACAGCAAAAACGAGTCCCCAGCCACTGCCACCCCTCTTCCTTGTCTCCCTCCTTCTACTTTTCACCTGTTCTGTGCACGAAACTGCCATATAATAGACAGCTCAATTAATTCTACATAGGGAATATGCCATTCTGCAAAAATGATAGTGAAACATCTGAGGAATCTCACAAGATTTCCTGCGAGGCTTTGGGGGGTGGGAATCTCCCACAGGAAAATATCAATGTGAGGAGGGAAACGGTGTTTCCTCCCTTGATCTCTCCCCAACAGATACAGACAGTAAGACTCACATTCCTGCCACCTTCCATGATGACTGGTACTTCATTATGGCTTGGGAAATAAAGTCTCCTTTATTTCATCTGTGAACTTGAAATGCAGCAAGTAAACAATTTTTATTATCTCTTCACATTATAAAATCATATATAGCTTATGAATTCCTCAGACTTTTTACTCCACTATAAAACTCAAGGTAACTTGACTTCTAAGATATCCTGTATGAAGAATTAGTGTAGGGAAATCACCCCAGAGGGAGACTGCAGATTAAAAAAAAAAAAAGCAAAGTGTGCTGCTTATATACCGCCCCATAGTGCTTCAAGCACTCTCTGGGCGGTTTACAATTATGCAAGCTACACATTGTCCCCCACCCCCAGCAAGCTGGGTACTCACTTTACTGACCTCAGAAGGATAGAAGGCTGAGTCAACCCTGAGCCGGCTACCTGGGATTGAACCCCAGCTCGTGAGCACAGTTTTAGCTGCATTACAGCAGTTTAACCACTGTGCCACGAGGGACTGCGATACAAGGATATCTGCAAGCAGGATCTGAAGACCTTAGGAATGGACATCAACAGATGGAAAACCCTGACATCTGAGTGTTCAGCCTGGAGGCAGGTGGTGCATCACGGCCTCTTCCATTTTGCAGAGACACTTGTCCAGCAGGCCAAGGCAAAGAGGCAGTCCCAAAACCAGCAAAATCAGGGAGCTGGACAGGGGACAGATTGTATTTGTCTTCAGTGTGGAAGGGATTGTCACTCTCAAATTGGCCTTCTCAGCCACACTAGACATTGTTCAAGTCCTCCATACAGAGCACGTTACCATAGTCTCTTGAGACTGATGGATGCCTAATCTGACTTATAAGTAGTCAGGGGACAGAAAGTTGGTGGAAGGAAGAGATACTTAACAACACTGAGTTGTCAAGAATCCTTGGCAATTGCATTGCACAGAATGTTTTCTGGAAAAGATTTATTTCAGCAACTGCACTATAAACACAACACCTGTCTATGCTGAACATTCAATTATAGGAATATTGTGTAACTGAATCATGTGCAACGTAAAGAAGGAAAATGTTCTTTTGCTCCCATCTAGTGGTTTTAGACTAAAATAACACAATATCAGTTTGTTTGGTCATGGAATCAAGTGCCTTGCTGCACTGGAATTCATAAGCTCTGGTAATGTACAGCTGTGAAAAAGCAGATGGAACACATAGAAAATAATAATTGCTAGCTGAAATTGCATCAAGCAACTTTAGGCCATGGAACTCTGATTACGTAATCAGCCATGGCCGTGTGTGTGTGTGTGTGTGTGTGTGTGTGTGTGTGTGTGTGTGTGTGTGTGTGTGTGTGTGTGTGTGTGTGTGTGTGTGNTGTGTGTGTGTGTTGTTCCAACGCAAACCAAAGAAATGAACATGTGAGTACCAAAACATTTGCAACTGCACTGCAACAATGAGAGAAGGGTTGCCTTTTCTGACAGAATTGCAAAGGTGCCAATATTTTTGGCCATGACTTAGAATTATGATTTCTGAATTAG